GGATGCGGATGTTATTATCTCTGTAGATGAAATTACACAAGCTGTGAAAAGCTTGAAAACTGGAAAGGTTGCCGGAATTGATGAAATCCGCCCTGAAATGCTAGAGGCGTTAGGAAAACCAGGCATGAGATGGCTTACACGTATCTGTCAAACTGCGATGACTACGGGAGGACACCAGCGGATTGGAGAACGGTAGTTGGTTTACCCCTATTCAAAAATGGGGACTACGGGGAGTGTTCGAATTTTCGGAGCATTACCTTATTGACCCTCCCGAGAAAAGTATCCGCAAAGGTGCTAGAAAGGAGATGGTAGAGGAATAACCGAACTCAAAAGAGAAATAAGGTAATGCGACTTTCGAAACATCTCTGACCATGTATTTGCCCTGCGCAAGATTGTTAAGAAATCGTGGGAGTACGCCCGTCCGGTGTACATGTGCTTTGTTGACCTAGAGAAAGCGTATGACCGGATCCCGCGCTAGAATATGTGTTCGTGTCAGCGAACATATGGGATCGATGGTCCGTTGGTACGAACCATCCAATTATTGCATACTGCGAGCAAGCGCTGCGTCGGAGTAAATGGCGTTAAGTCGAAACCTTTCAAGGTTGTCAGTGGTCTCCGCCAAGGCTGCGTTCTACCCCCTTTCCGGTTTGTGTCGTACGTGGATAGAATGCTCAGGCGCAGCTAAAGCGATGAGTGTATGGGTGTAGGAGATATTGAGGTGAGAAGGTTGCTGTTTGCAGACCACCTTGTTTCACTGCCATCTTGTGAAACTGATCTACATTCTGACTGAAAAGTTTCGCAGCCGAGTGCGGCGTGGCCGGCACGGGTGTGACCGCATCCGAAAGGAAAAGCCTGGTGCATTCTAGCTCTCTTGCCCGTTGCTTTCCTCAGATAAACGGAGAAGCAGTGGAGCAGGTAGAGAAGTTCAAGTATCTCGGAGCTGCGTTTGTTAATAATGGGAAGTGGGAGGAAGAAATCTATCGGTGGATGGGAATAGACAGTGGCGTTCCACGTGAACTAACCCGAATAGTTGTGACTAAAACAGAGCTGAGTCTGAAAACTATGCTCTCATTATTCAAGTCGATCTTCATTCCGCTGCTACGATCATGAGTTTTGGACGTTACCTACTATCATGAGTTGTGGACCATGGCTGGAAAACGAACAAGCGGCTGAAACTGGCTTTCTTAAACAAGTAGCTGGCCTTACGCGTCTCGACAAAATCCGCTGTACAGAAATCCGCAAGAGCGCTGGTGTACAGCCGATGCTTCTTCGGACTGATAACTCACAGCTGCGATTGCATGAGAACGTGTTGCGAATGCTCCCGGAAATGGAAGGCAAAACAAATGGTACATTCGCAGTGGACCGGCAGAAGATCCACG